TAATTGTATCAAAAGACATAATATTACAGCTTAATGGAAAATTTAGGCAATTTTTGCAGTTTAGCTTTTGCAAAATGGGCACATGAGTCAAATGAAGTGTCTTCATTTATAGGGCCTTAAAATATTTGGGTATTTGACCATTTAGAACTAAAGAGGGAACACTGAATGCACTGGTACCTGTTATTGTCACTAGGGAGCACAAAGCTGCACAGAAAGATCTGTTGCAGGTTATTATCAGTTAGCAACCATTCCTCTGACTTTACCAGCCTGCTCCAACAGAGACAGAGCTGCCTCTCTGCTCAGGCCGAGACAACCTCCCTAGGAATTACACATGGTGCCAGGCTCCATCATCCCAAACCATGCACAGTCCCCCTGGTCTGGGCAGTTTTGCCTTTCAATCCCTACAAACTAAAGAGACCCTTCCCAAAACAGGTGCATTCCAGCACAGCAGTGAGTTTTGATGTCTGTGAGGATGCCTCAAACTGCAGTCTTTACCTGCCAAGGTATCTGAAAAAAGGTATTTCCAACTGTGCTTGTGAGACACAGCTGAGGGGCTAACAGTGTGGGACTCAGCACAAACAAACACAGCTCCATCAAAGATTCAAAGGAGCTTCAGCTTTGTCCCCACAGGCAACATTCAGATAAATATAAACATAAACTTCTTCACACTCCAGCCAGGCAGAGCCTGTGCCAAGCCACTCTGTAGGAATTCCTGTTACAGCTCCTAAGGACTGGCAAAAACTTGTACTACAAAGTCAAACAGAACATTCTTCTGGAAATGCAGACCCTTTCCTGGGGCAGTTCTAAGGGCATATCTAGCACAAACAACTATTTTTGCTTGATAAATCCGGTGACAGGATATTCAGTTTAGGTTACTCTTCTTTACCCTGATGGATAATTTAAATTAAAGTCACTGTCCATTCAAGCAAAAAAGAATAGGTCTTAATAGAATAGTATCAAGTAATTTTCATTATACTCTGAAATGATAAAAAAATGGTTTTTTATTGTAGCCATGATATTTTCTGAGAAATCCTTTCCTTAGGATTTTTTCTCCTGAGAAACTGAGAGGCCTCAGGAACAAAATGTAAACAATGGTTATCTGCTGCTGTGGAATGCAACAGGTGGATCTGTGATTGGTCTCATGTGTTGTTTTTAATTAATGGCCAATCACAGTCCAGCTGTCCAGACTGTATCGGTCAGTCACAAGCCTTTGTTATCATTCTTTTTCTATTCTTAGCTAGCCTTCTGATAAAATCCTTTCTTTTATTCTTTTCGTACAGTTTTAATATAATATATATCATAAAATAATAAATCAAGCCTTCTGAAACATGGAGTCAACATTCTTGTCTCTTCCCTCATCCTGGGACCCCTGTGAACACCACCACATTTTATCACAGATATAACTATCTGCAATGCAAAGGGTTTCCCACAATACATTTCTAACAATTACATCTCCCCTTTTTTAAACACTTTTACTTTAATATTCAAAACAGGTACTTACAAACTAATTTCTGACATGACTTGCTGACTGGGAGTGAATTAAGAGACAAAATACGGGACATATCAGAGAATAAGAACAGAGGAAATCCTCTGTTGCATATATGTAAGCACAGGAGAATAAATTTTATATGATCGAGACTAAGCCCAGCTTGTAGGATGGCTACAACCTCACCCTCTTCATAACTTATTCATTGTTATATTTTGCCTGTAAGACAGAAAGATGGTAGAAAAGCCACAGAACATGATTGATCAGAGGTAAAAAGTAGTAGGCCACTCCCCTTCTAATAAGAATTAACTTTTTCACCTGCTAAGTAGAGGTTGAATATCCCACTTATGCCTTGGACAACGGAAAACAGCATCACTAAGGTGAGCAGAGAGAACTCAGTATTCATTTAGTCACTGGAGTTTTAAAACTCATGGTAAGAAAAGGACAAACATGAAGATTTGACATGACAGGAACATGACAGGTCCTTTTTTTTTTTTTTTACTGTTTGCCATCCAATTTAATTTCTTCATTATGAGCTTGCCAAAAAAGAGCAACCAGAGACTTCAGCACAGGGTAAAAATCATATAAATCAGTTCTGTTCTTTGTACCCTTCACCAATGGTATCATGAGTGAAGGCTGACATAACATCCACAAATCACTTCAGTCTGCTCTTTTTCTTTTGTTCTCTCAAAAACTATCCTTCATGCTGAAACTTCCAATAATCTCCTTATAACTCCAAGTTTAATTCAAACGCATTTTCTAGAGAGATGTGGAAGTGGGAGATTGTTTTGTTTAATCCGGTGCAACAGTTTATGCTCGTAAGACGTTATCCAGCTCTGAAAAGCAAGGGCAAGCCAGGATACAGAGGATACAGCTGACCACATTGGAAATTGTCTGAGTCATTACGGTTCACAATCTCACTTTGTAAATGCTCTGTGGGATATTTTAACAACTACAAATGTCTAGGAATTTGGGGTTAATCAAAAGAAAAATCAGCTCACACATACTAGTTACAGAATGTTTAACTGTGTTGAGGGAGAATCCCACGAGCCTGGCTTGAAATAAGTCTCAACCTCAACACAGGCATCTGGGAGAGGAAACTGCCTGGGCTCTGGAAAAGCCAGACCAAACTCATCCCACAGGAAATGCTACCAAAGAAAGCTGGACAGTTAAAAACTGTCAACAAATATGCAGAAAACCCATTCAGAATCACAAGGAAAACACAAGAGCTCAGGAAAAGCTAGGCACAAACTAGGGGCCAGACTCTCTATTGCATTTTCCTCTTCATGGTACAGACAGAAAAATTAAAGTCATCCTAAAGAAAACTTGAGTGTATACAGCTGTCAAACCATGCACTTTTCCATCCATCTTGATGAGCACATACAACCACCTTTAAAGCCTTTTCCCCTTCCTCCAGACAGTTTGCATCACAGGGGTTGGTCATGCAACATTTAGCGCCCTGTACACATGAACAGTGCCACTCTATAAAGGCCTCCCCAAAGATTAACTCCCTGCCCAAAGCCAACCAGTGTATTATTTGTATCAGCAAGAAATCACTTCTTCTCCACAATATTCCTATGGGAGAAATGCATGGCCCAGTTCCTGCCAAAGAATCACTAAGCCTGTGCTTTAACACCCACCAAACACTGTGATTCCTTCTTTTTTTAAGACCCATGAAGCTGCTGCTTGCTGCAGAGTGTGCAAAGCTGGTGAAAAAGAGGGTGAAAAGTATACTACTCCTGCTGGGGAGGAGTATATATTCCCTCCTTTATCCTCGTCACCTTCCTGGTCTGAATGAAGGGATCTTCATTATATATATTCCCTCCTTTATCCTCACCACCTTCTTGGTCTGAATGAAGGGATCTGTGGTGAATTCAACATCCTGGCCCTAGAGAGAGGGGTAGAATTGGCAGTGGCACTGTGGAGCTGGAACTGGTAGGGTTGGTGTGGCTCTCATGAGGGCTCCACCCTGGAGCACAGGCAGCACAATGCTACCCATGTTTAGTGATGCTGGTGACCTGTACATTCAGAATTTCACCACTTACACAGTGCTATTCAATATACATCTATTTGGAGGTGGATTTGTTCCTTTTTCAGCTCCTCTCTTCAAAATCAAACACCAGCATTCTTAATTTGTTAAAATATTAACTTCTAACAAACATTTATTCATGTTAATGGGGAAGAAATAGGTAAACTGGGAGGAAAGATGAACTTGGATAAATCCATAAGACTATTTAATGGGTGGGGTCTAGCCTGGGTCTGACTGTGACTGAGTTTCAGGCAGGAAAGTAGCACGGTCCCAGATGTGATGTCTCCCTTAATACTGCCAGAGATTTGTGCTTTTTTACTGTTCTCTGTATTGGGAAGCAGCTGTGGCTCACAGCTGCAGTTCTTGCTGTGAGGGTAACACAGAGAGTCTGGCTGATGCTGTGCACTTCAAGTCTATAGATCATGATAAAATTACACAGTGGAACTTGCCAGAAATAGTAGGCTGCAATTAAAAGGATATATAGCACACTTCACAAAAACTTAACAGCAGAAATTATTGTTCACAGAGACATATTGCTACTTTACTGACTACTGATACCATTCCCACCTTTTTGGCTCATGGATGTTTTGCAGATGCACACATCTGTAGTATGCAGTTATCACAGTCCTGACTTTTCTCAGGTTTTCTCTGTACATGGAAAACTGCACGCATGCATATCATGTAGCATACACTCACACAGATGTCACCACCAAATAATACATCCCACTGAAGAACAACACTGCAAACAAATAAAGTCTTTTATCCCAGCTCTCCTACCCATCTTTACACACAAAATGAAATGACATTTTGAGCTGCTCTGATTTCTGAAGCTTTTTTTATTTAGAAGCCTTCATATGACATAGAAGTATCAGATCTCCGTTTGACAGAATATCAGGTTGACTCATATCAAGTTAAACTCTCCCTCAGGCTAAGAACAAAATACCCTGACATGTTGCCACATAGAGTCAGAGTGGCAAATTCCCCAGATTATAACACATCTGTTGAAAACCAGTTCCCTAGCACAAGGGTTATGTTTCTATTCCTCTTATTTTTTGATTCCTCTTCCTCTGCATATACTTCATATTTCTCTGCAGTTTTTCTGATATTGCAGGTTCTCATCCCCTTTTAAGCCATCCTAGCATTCCAAATATATACAGTACTAGAATATACATTTGTGGATTTAACTCACTTTTCCAAAAACTCTTACTTATTATAAGAGCAAGTAAAAGGAAGGGTAATTTTTTATAGTGAGAAGCATTTAGGGCAATACTGCACAAACTGACATGTTAAGGTTTTTCAGGGGAGGAAAGGCATCGGGCTTGTCAGCTATGTCAGTGCTCTCTATTTAAGACTAACAATTACAATGCAATCTCTCATCTGCACAGGCCTTTTGTGAACTGACATGCACCTCATTTGTATAAATGATCAACTAAAGCACATTATGAGTCAATCAGCTCTAACTACCAGGAAAATAAGAGCCCATACCTAAATTCATTTGCTGCAGGCAGATGGTGGATTGCTTTTCTGTCCCTTTATGCTGCAGTCCTGCTCCCTTAGATCTTCTCTCCTAAGAGGGGGACATACCAGGAGGTCAGTTTTCTGACAAGGTCATCTGCCTTCAGAGTATGAAGAGAATTGCACAGAAAGTGGGTTGGGCTATATTTAGAGTTTGGTCCAACTCCGTGCCAAGGTCCCCCCCGCTGTCTCTCTCTTGCAGCACCGTCTCAGGTTTATTCTTGCAGATTCTCAGCCCACAGAACACACGAGAATAGAAAAGTCGCTCTGAGCTACTGCTGGATCGAGGGTTTTTTGCAATTTGCTAAAAACAAGTGGATCAGCAGTTCAGATGAGAACTCCTTAAACCACTCACTCTTCCAGCCCTTATCTTTATTTCAGTGGATTTTCCCTTTTCAGTTGAATAAAGGGAGGAAACTGCCTGGGATAGAGCAAAAAGACTCTCCTGAGCTAAGGTAAGGTTGCTTCATTTTTGTATTGTCATTGTAATTACAGCTCATTTAATGATTTGGATCAGATATGCTTCTTCTGCTACACCAGTTTTGCATGTCAGTATTAAGGGTATTTTTGGATAATGAAATTCTCCATGTAAAAATATCAATTCTCATTATCACTGTCCATAAGAAATGGGAAAATAAAAGATTATCAGCATGTGAAATAGAATATATACTATCTGATTTTTACCTGCTTAAATTACTGTAAAAAGCACACAGCTATGCCAATAGATTATATCATTCTGAAAATGAGAGAACCCCAAATGTGTGGCTATATGCACATGATTACATATACAGGCATGCATTTAGATGTTAGATGTGCTGAGAGATGTTTCAGCCACATTCTTTTGCACAATATGAGCAAGCCTGGCAGCAAGTTTGTGATATAGGGCTTGCAGCAAATGGCAAAGATACGAGCAAAAAGAAAAATTAAAAAATGAACACGTGCTCAAATCCCTTTATAGTTCCAAAGCTGCTCAGCTTCAGAGTACAGGCAGTATTACTGATCATATTGTATTTGGTTTCCTTTCCACTGTATGCTATACACTGGTTCAGCATTGCTTCTCTTTTTAAACACACATATGGCTCAACAATTTTCCTCATTTTAAACTGTTGTGATTCTTAAGGGAAAAAGCCTCTGGGCAGAATACATCATTGCATACCTGTCTGTTAGGAGATCCTAACACACTTCAGGTCACATGGCCATCATGATACTGTAGTGTGGATCCAACATGAGGGGAATGTTGTCATGTAAAGACACTCTGGAGCCATGGATTTAGCACTGGCACACACACACACTTTCTAATGCAACATGACCTCAGCAAGACCACAGGAATGGTAACATGAAAAAATTGGGTAGGAAGGTCCACTGGATCCAAAGGTCCAAACACTGATGGGACAGCACCAACTCACTGCACAACATAATCACTGTGTAAAAGCCTTAGCAGAAGCAACTAAACAAAGGCAGATGGATTCTGGATTAAAATTCGGCAAAGAGCAAGAGAACTCACTGTGAGTTCAACTAAGGTGACTGGGTGAATTCCTATACTTACTTCAGGTTGTCTTAATACAGCTGCTGGTTAAACAATGCCATGCATTAGGCTATAAAACATTCTAAGTTGGCAAAAGTCTAATCTGCTGAAAAAATGTCTCATTTTGCTCACTCTCAACTATATATAGGATCTTCTCATCCTTTGCTTCTGATTTTGCTTAGTAATTTATGCTTGGAGTCTTGAGTGTTAAGTTTATTTGACAGAAGTAATAAACACAATCCATTTCACACAAAATACTTCCTAGCAGTGCTAAGACTGTTTAACAAATGAAAATTATGGTAGCATGCCATGGAACCAACTTGGGCTGTGTTGCATGTGATAACTCTGATTCATCCAGAAGGTTTATATTGCAAGAACTTGAAGAAAAGGCTGTTAAAGGAGGGCTGCTGAAATACTGCAAATGCATTTATCAAATTTATCAGCAAGTGAAGGGCATCACAGTATAAAAGCATCTAGTGCAGTCTAAGATCCGAAGATCCGAAGAATCTTTTATAAACAGCTGTTTTACACTGATAGAAAAGGGGAAAATTACATCTTAATAAATTTTAAATGTTCATTTTAAATGTTTGCCTAATGAATCAACTTAGTTTTTGTGACACTTTGTGGTACTATTCTCCATTTGCACATGGGAAAATATTACTTACTCCCCCATCAATATTAAAGACATCAGGGATGTAGGGTTGTCTTAAAAAAAAGCAGTAGTGCTGTGACTGAGCTTCCTAATGCAGTGCTCCCAAACACCCCTGGCAGATGGACAGGAACTGCTGTGTCAGTGGCAGACAGGACTGGCTTGTTTGGAAGGAAGGGTCATCACACCCTCCCCACAGGAGCTGAGCCTAAAATGTGTCTGTCACCCAAACTGGTGGGAGGTTTGTTGACACGGTGATGACAGGATGACAGCTTTGGAAAATGGCAGTAGGATGATGAATATGGGCATGGCATTACCAAAAGAAGCTAGAAAGAAACACATCTGAGTGAACAGGCCTCATATTCTAAGGTAGACAAACCTCAATCTGCTTCTAACCTTTTTCTAGAGCCAATCCTGCTTGGTGGGTTCTTCCTCCTCCTATTCTCTCCTCATAAAACTCCATTAAAAAATTCCAGCACAGTGAGCTAGCTTTGTCTTGCTAAGGTGTGGTCTCCAATGGGCACAATATGTCCACTCTAGTGGAAACCACTATACACGTGAAAAAAATTTAAACATAGTAAATTAAAAGGAGGAAATTTATTTTTTTCTCTTCTCATGTAAGAAAGAAAGAAAGAAAGACTGAAACCCTTCATTTCTCTTAGAGGGGCTGATGGGTCTGAAACCCACCTTCCTCCCTTGTGGTGGTAGGGCATGGCCCTACATACTGAATGACATGTCCAAGGCTGTGGAGGAGGAGGAGGAGGAGGAGGAGGAAGGGAAAGCTTGGCTGATGATGTGTGCTGCCAGCTGGCCAGGCAAAGCTCCAAGAGGACATTCACTCACCCCTCGCTTTGGCACTGTCCCTCTCAGCTGACAGGTGTAAGCAGGACCAGGGCCAGTTGGGTAAATCCAAACAGCACCAGGGGGACAAGTTCCACCCGCAGTCAGATCCCCTGCTCCACTCCCTGTATTTACTTTCTGCCTTGGCTTTCTTCTGGTGCAACCAAACAACAAACAGCCCTGGGATTTTTCTCCCTCCCTGCCAAGCTGAGCAGACAGAAACAAGCTGGGATTTTGGGGAGAGTCAAAGCATACCTCAACAAAGACCTTTAACAAGAGGTCCTGCCAGGTGCCACAGCAGCAATGCTACACAGCTCTGCAGTCAACCTGCAGGACCCCAGACTCATCTCCAGCCACCACCATCAATGCATAGCTGGTGCTGCAGCTGGCATGGAGGCAGGGACACCCAAAAGGGGCTTGGAGAGTGTGAGAAAGGTAAAGGGAGCTCTTGGAGCCAGTCTGTGAGTACTTGGGTACAGCTCTGTTGTATACCTGTGTAAAGGAGGAACACAGAACTTGGCATGAAGATGGGCTACAACTGCTGAAGGAGATCTGCCTTAAATCCTGCACTGAAATTTTCTTTCATAACCTTTAGTGATTATTGACACAACTTCTAAACTTTCCAGAAAGGGATGGATGATGATGTGCCAATATATGCTGTATAGGAAAGAGAGATACTTATAGACACAGAAAAATTTCAAAGCTTTAATTAAGCAAAGAGTTAATTAAATAATTATAGTCATTCAGCTAAGCAGTACTTTCCCCTGAGACTTACTTGTAATAAGGACAGGGAAAGAAATCAAAGTTCATACTCACAACCAGGCACATAACCCCAGCCTTTGTCTGACCTGATTTCACAAATCCATCTTTCAAAAATAGGAGGGGAAAAAGCCCCAACAAGACAACTTTTCCATAGGGTGCCCTGCTGGTAGAGTGATATGTCTTTGCAGAAAACTGTCTGCACTGAGGAGAGGAATAGACCCATCATTTCCATTTTCTTTCTTGTCCCAATACAAGTGTTGGGACTGACAGAAAGATCTCCAGCCCTGGTTTTCATGTTCTACATTAAGAGTATCACTTTTAACTGTGGCAAATTGAGTGTTGTCTACTCAAAGCACAATAAATCTTCATGCATACAACTAAGCACAGAGAGGCACAGGACAAGAAATGCACTGGAACAGTGAGATACTCTTCAGGCCTGCAGCACCACACTGCTTAGCAGCAAAATGCCAGCTCGAAACTCAGGAAAACTGCAGGCAAACCACAATCTGCTACACCCAGTGCCCTACTTCTCACCCAGACAACTTCGTGGTCCTACTCAGTACAATTTTCTATTTCTCAGTCCTTACTTTGGTGATTATTCTGAATGGGTATACAACCCATTCACGTGAGAAGATGAAGGTTGTCAACTTTAAAACAATTTCCACTGACAATCCCACCTACACAGTGTGGCATTAAGCTATGCAGGAAGAAACAGTTAAAATTTGGATTATACAAAACTGACACAAATTTCTTATCTTCCATTACATAAGCCTAAGTTCTTTCAATTGCAGCAAATTCACAGTGACCATTACTGATGCTGAAATGACACAGAAAGGAATCCAACACCACTTGAGCTGCTCTGTGTCAAACACCAGAGGATGACAGTGCATATAGACAGCTGCAAAACAAAAATTGTAAAATTACCAAAATTGTAAATTACAATTTTACATAAAATGAAACATAGTCCTGTTAGAAGAAATCCTTGGAAGTGAACTTTCTCACTTTTCACTCATAGCCAGATTTTTAGTATACCAATCTGATCTGCAGGCATTCACTTCAACAGGAGAACAGAATCCAACCCCAGCACAAATAACATTGAAAAACAAAAATCATCAGTATTTACAACATGGTTGCATTTTGCATTTTAGCACAGTCCTCACGCACTTTTCTTAATCACAAATAATACTGTGGGTGAATATAAGAATGAAGGCGGAAAAAAGTCCTCTAAATGGATGTCAAATAATTGAGATACTCTCCCTAAAGAAGCAATGTAAAA